GAAGAATTTATTTGATCACTTTCCATTTTAAAACATAGTATGTTCCTTTTGCTCCAAGCAGGAACAATCCTTATCTTTCCCCTACCAATAATGAATCCAGTCTTAACTTTGTAGAAATCGTACTGTAAATGAACAATAAACATGTCTTGTTTTCAGCGTTAACCAGCACTGGAAGAGAAAGAACAGCAAACATCTCCCAGCCAGCGCAGACATTCTGACTTCCAGATTACAGTACATTGCTTTGCTTCCTCCAAATCCTGTTTACATGAGCAAGGTCAGGGGATGGAACATTAGAGAGCCTCTACAGTGATTTCCTGCTGCTGTCAGTAAAAACTACCGAGACATCATCAACTTTCCCTTGTTCCAAACAGCTTATCAGGGACCAAAGGTTACCAATGTATTGCCTTACAGACTTGAAAAACCCAACCTCCCTCAAAACTAAAAGTAAAATCAGAGGATGAAACAGGAGGAAATAGTCCCAAAGGGAAACAAGGCTTCCAATTTTTCCTTTTCAATAGTTCAGAAAACAAAGGCAATATTAAGCTGCTTGACACACAGAGAAGAAGGGGTGGGAGAGAGACAGTAATGTGTTCAGAGTCTTAAATGAGATAGAAAGGAGAAAGAAACACCACCCCCAGCTGCTAAACCTTGACCCCAATTTAGTGAATATTTTCTGAGTGTAGAAGGCTAGAACACACCTCATTTTTAATAACTGCAACATATGAAGGCTCTTACCATTGGAAAAGTCGGGCATTACGCAAATACCAGTTAGTTAAGCATATATAGCTTGTTTTTATAGTGGTTTCAGCAATATGCAGGAGATCTGAATAAATGAATCATCAAATTCAAAGCTATTTTCCTGACAATAATAATACACAGACAGGAATTGTTAGTGTTTTTGTAATTACAGTTCAAAAGAAAGCAGCTCCATACTGAAGATTACACTGAAGTTTTTCCACCAACACAATGACCACATCCCCTTCACTAGGTTAACAAAGTTGCATCAATGTGAATCTCAGATGAAAACAGGTTTTTCACCATGTTCAAAAAAGAACCGGCCTTACAGCTTTAAGTTAGAACGCAAACTGAAAAGATAAGGTGTTTAGAGCTCAGAGAATTTAATAATTTAGGTGTTTTCTAGCAAAATCCCTACAAGAACATTCATACCTGCACATCTTGGCTTAATCTTTGAAGTGAGAAAATAAAAGTAAATTTAAAAACCCCACATAAGTAGGCATTTTAAGTGTGGAAGTTGTTACGGATTGTTGGCTTTGATGAAGCAACAAATTAAAATTCCTTGAAAAGAGGAGGAGGAGTGGGAGGAAGAGATAACACCAGTATTTCCTCATACAGATAAAGCTCAAAATATAAATGGATTGCTAAGAAAATATCTGAACACATATTTTAAATTCACAATAAAGAATCAAGAGTGTTCAATTTTTAAATTTTTGTTTTTCAAATCTTCTCCAGGCAGACTGTTGTCAGGAATAAATGACAGTGATACTTGGCTGCACCTTAATTATCTGGAGTTTTGTGTCCTGTTTTGGGCTTCTCAGTACAAGACAGACATTGGCATCCTGGAGCAAGTCCAGTGGAGGGCATGCAAGATGGTGAGGGGGCTGGAACATGATATACAAGAAAAGACAAAGAACCAGGTTTGTTCAGCCTTAAGGAAGGATACAGGAAGATCTTACTGCCATTTCAAATATCTAATGGGTGGATAGAGAGAAGACAGAGCCAGACACTTATTAGAGGATCATTGTGATAGAATTAGAGGCAACAGACATGTTGGAACATAGGAAATTCTAGCTACTATCATGAAAAAAAAAAACCCAAACCCAACCATATTTTCACCAGTCAAACACTAGAGCAAGCTGCCCACAGACGTGGTAGAATCTCCATTCTTACACATATTAACAAATAAACTGGACAAGACCTTTAGGAACCTGATCCCAGTTGGCCTTGCTTTAAGGTGGAGGTTAGATGAAATGACTCCAGACATCCCCCTCTCAACCTATACTGCTCTATCATTTTTGTTAAAGAATCTTTAGAGAAGGGAAGAAAAGGAATACCTTTTTGCTCTGCCACAAGTCATCTTAGGGGCAGTAATAGCGTATTTCCTATGACCAGTAGGGCAGGACACAGTTCCAATAGCTGAAGAAGAGATTCTCAACAGGGAGAACACTTTCTCCTATCTCCTGGAGTAGCTTGAGATCTATGGGAGTTTGCCCACTTACAGTTAGGAATTTTAATAGTCATTCAACAAAACATTATGAGGTTTTGTAGACTTCCAATCTCCCTGAAGATATTTCAGGGAGCTTTAGGGAACTCATCACATTTCCTACAAAAGCGTCAATGTTGTTATTTGTCCCAGAGAAGCCGGTCTTTAAATACTTGAGACAGTAATCCAAGAAAGGCTGTATCTCTCTCCTTCAGTAGAAAAATTAAATATATTGATTAGCTACTTCCAGTGGTCCAGGGACTTGCCAAGGTGTTTTGTAGGGCCCTGCTGTGTTGTATGCATGATAGATAAGGACATTGAACAAGAACCCTTAAAGATGTGTAAGTGCAGAGTGCATTTTTCTCTCTACACATATCTGAAGGGCAGAAGAACTGCTTAAGGTAGAGCAAAACACTTCAAAAAGAATAAGTAGGTTTAGACAGGACATTTGTAAATCAACCTGGCAACCTGATCAAAGATGTTTAGTCATTTGAACAGCATTCTTCCAGTAGAAGTAGGACCAAAAAGCCATAAGCAGCTTTAAGATGAGTCTTGAGAAGTTTGCAGAAAAAAAATAAGACGCAAGCGTACAGTGATATTATCCTTGATAACCACTAGAAAAAGAGCAACCCAGGGGGGCTGGAATCAGGGAGAGGGATGGGAGAGGAGGATGAATTAGACTTGAGGTTGGTAACCTCAAGTTAGAGGGGGATTTAAAAAAAAGAAAAAAGAAAAAATACATAAATAATGCACAAACACAGTATAATTCAAGTGAGGACAAACAGTATCAAGAAGTAGTCTGGCAGTGAAGGTGGGATGGGAAGAAATTCAGCATCTACCCTTCCCCCTTTGATTTTTATGAAGAATACACGAAACCCCTAGAGACAGGACGTCTATACATTAGGGAAATTGAGCCAGCTTCAGATGAAAAAGTTCGAGACACTGAGATCCAGAACCCTTTTGGAACAAGACACAAAGAGACTGGATGACTGGTCTGATTAAGAAACAGGTGATAATTCCACAACCAACAGAAGCTGGTAAATGCAGCAGACAGACACTGAACAGGATGATGACACTAAAAGATGAGTTGACATTAGAAAGTAGGGAGGACCAGATAGGTTGGCAAAGTTGGGGAAAGGGTTACTATGGGGGAGGAAGGATGCTAGTGGCAGAGAAAACATGCAAATGGTTTCTGGATTTGTGTGAATAGTGGTGTGTTACACAGAGCAGTTGTCCTTAAGGCTGTAGTCCGAGTAACAATAAATGTTGCTAGATGGAAAAAAGATGCAGATGGTGAATGCCAAGATGCAGAAAGGTGAGAATCAATGGTGAACAGGAGATTAAGGTCATGAAAAAAAAAAAAAAAAAAGTAGTGATTACTGACATAGTCAAAAGACATGAATTTTGAAGCAACATTTTTGTAATGAAGAAGACTGTAAAGCCAGCCAGCCAGCAATCAAAAGGATGCTGTCTCGTGGGTCAACTTATTCCTACTATGAGTTCTGTGCATGAAGTTTTATAAACTACTCTCATATCAAAAGAATTAACAAAGGAGATTAAATAATTGGCAGATTTGTAGGTTTGTAACAAAGAATTACAGTGTAACCATACATTTGAATTCTGTGATCAGTATTAAGATCAGGAAGTAATGAACACAGAGTATTTTAAAGTGATAGGTAGCCAATAAATTATATCCATCACAATCCACTATCTGTGAAGCCTGCTAAAGAGATTTCTGTAAGTCTGCAAATTACTTTTGATAGAAGTTATCCTAAAGGACCGTATTTCCGTTGTGAAAACATAACATAACAACTGCTAAACTTTAAAATATATGAAATTATGATCTCTCAAATAAAAATTATATGATTATTTGCTTTGAAGAAAAGGTTTCTCTTGGACATCAAGTTCTGTATCATGATCTTCAATAAATGATCTTAAAGAATTTTATGAAGTACTTTCACAACATACCTTTCCTTAAAGCATTCGTGACAAAATAGAACAGCAGAAACCACGCCTGCCGCCTATTGATATGTATTAACCCTTCAGCCACACAAACTCTTGTCATGGTAACTAAAATTGCTCAAGATACCATTTATGCCTTCACAGGAACAGATTCAGAGCTAAAAGAGAAATTCTCATTTTAACCTAATTCTAGAACAGTATGTCTTTTAGATTTCATACCAGGAGAGCATATTTCTCCTCCTACGAAACTACCGTTAAAACATTGCCTTCCTTTCCTCCCACATGCCATACCAATGTCATATGAAACGCTAACACTAGAAGGATCTGATCCTATGATTCTGTCTTAAAATGTGTTACATTTTTTTTCTCCCACAGAACTACTAGATGCCTTAAAAGGACAAAAATTAAAACATCACTTTTGGAATTTTATCAATGAGGAAAATACTTTTTAGGTTTCCCATTATTTGTGGATAAAGACAGAGTTACGAAAAGTGTTTGAGAATAAGCCCAAATTTTAACAGTAATATTTAGATATAATTAGCATGGGCGTATAATTAGAATTTCTGCTTAGTATATGGGTAAAGTTATTAGTATAATATGAAAGCTTAGCTATTACACCATCTTCTGGCTAGCCTTGGGAACTGTGAAAGAAAGCTTAAGCTGAGAAGTTAGGATATTGAACTCTGAGCAGTCGACAATTGTTAAAAAATATATTTCATTCATCTAGACAGAAAGAGCACATTTCTGATAACTTGTGAGTTTAAGCTATACCCTTTTTTTTTTTCCCTTTTCTCTACCCTCTCAGAAGGCAACTTACCGGAGTACTGAAAGATGAAGAGGAACTAATCTCTATGACAGGTGGGTCAAGTGTTTGTGTATTAGTCACATCAAAGGTAGGGTTGACCTGTTGAAAATTAATTATATTATTATTATTTCAGCACCAGTAGAGAAAGGGAAAAAGGACTGAAATAAAAAGGACCACTTGCTACATTAAGGCACCACTATTCACTAAGGAGTGGAAACAGGCTTTAAAATTTGTAAAAGTAAAGGTAGGAGTTACCCTCCAACCATGTAAAATGCAGTCATATAATAGAGAAAGAGAATCCAAATACGCATTTATTACAGAAATATAATTTATACTTCATAAACATCCATCACCCAAAACTAACTCGGGGGATTCCTACCACAAGAGGTAAAAATATTAAGAAGTTCAGTTGTATGACAAATCAATAAAAATTAAGTTACAAATACTAGTTTGAAATGGATTTACTAAGACAGCTAACTCAAAACCTGCCGAAGGCTGAAGCCATGCAATTAACAGAGTGGCCAATGATGCTGCTGAAATACTGAACAGTAGGAAGTATTCAAACGACTTCCCAACTCTGTAACTGTCACTTGCAGGTGCTTTTGAAAGTTTTTGCATGTGCACAACCACTATAAGGGCTCCTGCAAGTCACCTTTGAGTTTTACTTTCTAGTGTCTTGTGGGTGCAGTTGTAGGCCGTCTTTCCTATTCCTCCTTCCACCAGGAGGACTGTCTGTGGCAGAAGTGGTGTACAGCCCTGGATAACTCCAGACTTGAGAGCTGCCTTTTAGCAATGATTCTCAATTAGCTTGTTACAGTCCAAGGACAGCAGTAGCCCTCCAGTTGTGGAGGTTTCCATATACAACTATGCAGCACTCCATTCTTTATGTTACACTGGTCCCCTTGCCTGCTGTAGTTTACTTAGGGTACATCCTCACTCACAGTCTCATACCGCAGCTTATAAGTCCCACTACCATTCAGTTTGAGCTAGGATCACTGTAGTTAAGCCACTCTGGCTCAGCAATGCATAGGAAGGTGTGCACCAAGCCAGTCCCTAAGCCCAAGTTGCCTTACTGACGTGGGTACATCATTAGCACCAGAGCTGAAAGTGAGCACACACTTAGCAGCCCAGATCGATCAGTTCCCAACGCACACTCAAGTTCCTCAAGTCATCCGTCGCAACCAAACAGACAGACTGTCGACATGCTTGCTTCTTACGTGCCAACTCTGATTGTCAAAATTACTTGAAAAACACTGTTGTGGAAAATGGGTAGGAGGTAACACTGAAATCTGTGATAAGTTAACCAGCCAAACACAAACCATGCTGTTCCTAAAAACACAGGAAAAACCGCTTTATCCTGTGATAATGTCAGAGGCTGATTGATCAAGATATGTCATCACAACATCTGTGATTTTGACATCAATATCACAGTTGGACTACTCATTTGTTGTTGGTTGTAGGAGTTAATCTATAACTTTAGCAATATTTTGCTAATGTCTTTTCCTGGAACTGAAGCATTAACAAAATATAAGAGAATACTAAGTTTGAGAAAGCTGCGGCTTATGGTTTCACCTAAGGATCAGAATATCCTCCCTATAAAAATCTGTGCGCGTATTTTCCCTACCATTGTATTATCTACGTGTATTACAGCCTAACAGAAAGGGTAGTCAAACATTGGAACAGGCTGCCCAGAGAGGTGGTGGAGTCACCATCCCTGGAAGTGTTCAAAAAACGGGTAGATGTGGCACTTCGGGACATGGTTTAGTCTAGTCTACCCTTGCCTTGTTTAGTGTGGACTTGGTAGTGTAGGTTAATGGTTGGACTGGATGATCTTAAAGGTCTTTTCCAACCTAAACGATTCTATGATTCTATGTTTGCCCTCTCAGCGTGATGTATGGAAATACTATTCTTATTATTTTACGAACTGACAAAATTCACAGAAAGACTAGATGACTTTCAAATCACCAAGAAGTCTGGTGTAGTAAAGAGAAATTAACTTTCCTCTTTTCAACTTTTTATCAGTAATCCAACAGCGGCCTTATCAGAGACAGCATTAATTCCAACCATCTTACTTGAAAGTGGAAAAAAATAAAGAAAAAACCCCAAACTCACACCTGCCTACTGACAGGGTTATATTTTCATTGCTGAAAGTATACTAGATACAAGGGTCATTTTATTTTGCCTTTTCAAGGAGAATGAGCCTACCATTTCACCTGAAGACTGTCAAAACTCTGGTTCAGCCAGAGCTGCTCACTCAACAACAGCTTCAGTGCTATTTCCACAAGCAAAAATCCCCAATGCTAGGGTCCATACATTGGTATATAGACTTTTAGGTCAGAGATCCATTTGTTAAGTAGCTAGAATGAGATCTTAAAACTGGAATCAGTAGACAGGGAAGGCAGGCAATAGGATCTTGTACAGCCTGAAGCCTTTTCATTCAGTTCATCTGGATTTCCATAACTTACATGCAGAAATTTAGGTTAAAACTAATAGAAGTAACATCTTCCTTGGTAAATGCCAGGGAGGGGGGCAGAGGAAGAAGATGTACAAAGTTTACTAACAAGCTAGAAGGTAAAAAGACACTCAAATGTAGATGTTACCTGATTATTCAAGCTGAAAGTGATCCTTATACTCTGCAGCACTTACAAATCAGAGATGACAAGCCTTCCTTAAGGGGAGATCTTAATTCTGGTTTTAAGCTAGTTCACCTTCCTGACTAACAGTGCTTAGCTCTTTCTTGGATTCAGTTTCAACAAGCCATCCTTCATCCACAAGCTTTTTTTTGTAGTGTTCTGTCTTTTAATTCAGATTATAGTTGCATCAGTTGAGAATGAGCTACCCAGAGACAATCAGGAAAACCCATCCTGCTACAGGGCCATCAGAGCTGATAACTTAAAATTCTCCCTCAATTTGTAGATATTACGATCAACTCTTGCTTTCTTCCAATTTTGTCAAAGGGAAGGAGGAAAGAAAGGGAATGTCATCTATCTGGACTTCTGTAAAGCCTTCGACACGGTCCCCACAACATCCTTCTCTCTAAATTGCGGAGATACAAATTTGACTGTTCGGTGGATAAGGAATTGGTTGGATGGTCACATCCAGAGGGTAGTGGTCAATGGCTCAATGTCCAAATGGAGACCGGTGACAAGTGGTGTCCCTCAGGAGTCTGTACTGGGACTGGTGCTCTTTAACATCTTCATCAGTGACATAGACAGTGGGATTGAGTGCACCCTCAGCAAGTTTGCAGATGACACCAATCTGAGTGGTGTGGTTGACACGCCAGAAGGACAAGATGTCATCCAGACGGACGTGGACAAGCTGGAGAGGTGCGTTGTGCAAACCTCATGAGGTTCAACAAGGCCAAGTCCAAGGTCCTGCACCTGGGATGGGGCAATCCCCAATATCAGTACAGGCTGGGGGATGCGCGTAAGGACTTGGGGTTACTGGTGGGTGAAAAGCTGGACATGAGCCGGCAATGTGTGCTTGCAGCCCAGAAAGCCAACCGTATCCTGGGCTGCGTCAAAAGAAGTGCGGCCAGCAGGTCGAGGGAGGTGATTCTGCCCCTCTGCTCTGCTCTGGTGAGACCTCACCTGGAGTACTGCGTCCAGCTCTGGAGCCCTCAGCACAAGAAGGACATGGACCTGCTGGAGTGGGTCCAGAGGAGGGCCACAAAAATGATCCGAGGGCTGGAGCACCTCTCCTGTGAGGACAGGCTGAGAGAGTTGGGGTTGTTCAGCCTGCAGAAGAGGAGGCTGCGGGGAGACCTTATTGCGGCCTTTCAGTACTGAAAGGGGGCCTATAGGAAGGATGAGGACAATCTTTTTAGCAAGGCCTGTTGTGACAAGGACAAGGAGTAATGGTTTTAAACTAAAGGAGGGTAGGTTTAGACTGGATATAAAGAAGGCATTTTTTTTACAATGAGGGTGGTGAAGCACTGGAACAGGTTGCCCAGAGAGGTAGTGGAGACCTCATCCCTAGAAACATTCAAGGTGAGGTTGGACAGGGCTCTGAGCAACCTGATGGAGTTAAAGCTGTCCCTGCTCACTGCAGGGGTTTGGGCAGATGACCTCTAAGGGTCCCTTCCAACCCAAACCATTCTATGATTCTATGAAAAAGGAGAAAGCAAGCCAGGTAACATGGTCTAAGTAAAAACTTTCCATTTATGTGAAAGTTCTACCATTTTAACTGGACTTGTCCTTTAGTTTCTCCTCTACAGAAACATGATTAATGAAAGTGTCCTCTGCATATACTATTGCTTACCACTTTATCAGAGTTGAGATGAGGAAGAGGAGAACTGCATATTTTACTTTTTTCCCCCTTTATACATACCCTGTCTATTTAGATTAAACAGAAAACTGTCCTAAAGAACTTACATTTGTTTAATGCCCAGCATAACCAGGCTCATTTACTTCTGACCTTCAGTCAGTCCTGTAATAAATATAATTAACATATTATCTGAGTGTCAATCATACTATGGGCAGCTAAGCCTAAAGTCTTTTCCTGACTTGCATCATTTGGGTACTGAAGAGAAGAAAGGACAATGCACCTGCAGGACTCTGCAGAAGAGGGACAGCAGGTGCTTATCACCTATGAATATTCTAACATAGGGGAGTTACTCTAGTATTATTACTAATAGCTCTCGAAACGTCTTATTTGAGATAACATCTTGTTATATACATCAGAGATATTGTAGAAGGTATTAAATGCTTTTCTTGATACAGGGTTGCTAAATAAATACGTGGTATGATTAAGTTAAGAAAACATGCTCTTTATGTGGAAGTGTCATATCCTGGAGGTGGAATGAGTCTCCTCTGCATATAGTTCTGCTTACTGCTTTATCAGAGGTAAGGGGAGGATGAGGGCATTGCAAACACTGACTAGGGGTGCAGGAACTGTCATAGGCCATTTTAAAAGATATATATAGATATATAGAATTGTTAAGCAACAAGCCAGAAATAGCAAAGTGTCTAAAGAAAAGAGAAAAAAAAATATTCATCTTTAATATTGCACTAAAAATTAATGAGGTAATGGAATGAAGCTAAGTGTAAAAGTTTCAAATGACTTGAGGTTTTCTGTCAAGGTGATGTCATCAGCTGTCAACCTCACTAAACATATTTGGAAAAATTTAACTTTAAAAAACAAGAAAGAAAAACTAGAACACTAAAAAGCAAGGTCGAGAGAACTGTCATGTATTAATGGTTTTCAAAAACACTCTTCCAAAGTTTTCCTTTAGTTACCTGGTAAATTGATATATATGTATTTTCATTGTCTTCCTTCCAATACGATGATACAATTTTGATCCCCAGCACAATAAAATATATTTGAAGGAAGGTTTCTACAGATCCTTTAATGTGAGGAATTACAGATTTCTAAAGACTGGAGTGAAACCAAAATATATTATTTAAAGAAAGGGAGAGGCAGGAATTGGGATCACTGCTTAGGACAGAGAGCTAGGGGAAGAACAAAAGAAGCAGGCTGAATTAAAGTATGTGATTGTCAGCCATATGCTTTAAGTAAATGATTATGCCCCTACAGATATCCCTCTGTTGATTTGAATAAAGCACATCCACACTCAACCCACCCCCCCTTCACTTAATTTTTAGTTTTTTGATATAACACCAATGTCTTATGAAATGCATTATAAAAATAAATAAAATTAAAAGAGGAAGTTTTAAATGACTCAAAGTATTTCCGAGGGAATTGATGTAGCTAGCTGTGAAATAGTCTCTCCAAACATACCGAAAGAAATTTAGCTTTCAATTTGATTAAACACAGTTCTTTGTACTAGACTGGAGCCCTCAAGCCAAGCAAGCCATATATTCTTATTTCTACTGCCACCTAGCGTATATTTGGATTTCCTTCATCTAAGAAAATATTTACAACTGAAATTACACTGAAAATTTTAAGATGAAACTAAATTAACGGTAGCTTTTCATGATTTATCTCAGCTAAATATAGACATACTGCTAGACAGCTCTATTTGAGCTAGTCACCCAGGATTAACTCTATGGTCAATGGAAAAAAAGTAGGCACCTTCAGAGAACAAGTCACTTACATTTCCAAACTGTCTGAATAATTGTAATGATTATAAGCTTTAAACCTCTACTTGAATATTCAAGAATCACATTGATCAGTTGGAGAACTGTAGTAAAGATTTATAAGTCAAGAACATGAAATTCAACACTGCATTAAAATTCAGGGTACTGCTGGTCTGAAGAGGAGGAGACACAAGTAAGGAATTTCTTGTAAAAGTTAATTATGCTTCAAAAAGTAGGCAGGGAGAGAGAAAAAACTAGAGAACGTATCTTATTACTGGCTCTGTGTATAGCTTTGAAGAATCAATAAGGAAAAGTTCTGAGAAAAGGTGAAAGTACACTCAAGCTTCACATTTCAGTCACTATCCTGAAGGCAAAATACCAGGTGATACGTGCAATTCTTAATGCCCTTGTGCAAGCTGTTTTGTTCAAAACAGCATTTCCAGCTGGTTATGTGTGAAAACACTACAACTGTCTCTCTGATGGGTGAATAAATTCTGAGCAAAGCCAGCTCCTTTTTGTGTGTACTATTTTCCCAGAAACAAGTTCTGGAATAGCAGGGACCTTGCCATATCAAGGTAAGCAGGGACAGAGAAGCAACAACTATCCAAAAGGAGTAAGAAACCTGGAGAGGCATGAACCATTATGAATTAAAAAAGCATAGACAGAATTACTTCCCTCTTGACTTCTACCTGTACATCTGTTGAACTTTTTGTGTTATACCACTTTGAATTTTATCCTAAGGCAATCCATTTTCATTCCT